CTTATTCAAAACCATCACGGGTTGCCAAAGGACTTCAATTCCCCTATTCCTCAGCACGTATCAGGGAAAAGTGTTTTCAAAAGCAGCAAGATAAGCCCAGCTGACTTCTCAATGTCCAACATTTCTTAACTACTCAGTAAGAGTAAGGACCGCCCGTTCTGGAAATAACAGAAAGCCAAGATACTAAGCTGTTTGCCACCGCCTCCTTTGCTTCATTTCACATACTTAACTTGAAAAGTGCTTTGATACAGCTTGGCTACAAAATACTAACAAACAGGTTATTGATTGCAAATTGGTGGTTTGCAAAAAAAGAATCTAAAGTTATGAACAAAGGAAGCAGTGTTTCTACAAATGTTACCAAACAGAAACACAAACAGTTTAGCTTGAAATCGTGTGTGTGTCCATGTGTGTGTCCATGTGTGTCCCCCCACTTCATTTTTTCACTTCTGGTAAGTGGCTTGGTATTTTCATGATTGGAACACATCTAATGTTTGGAAAGAATAATCTTAAACACCTCAATCAGGGGCTTTCATATCAAATGAGCAATTAACTTTAGATTAATAACTCAAATAATGGGAGGAGAATTTTAACTCTGCAGGCTAGAAATCATGTACAGAACAGCTCCCAGCAAGATACCAGAGACATGCACCAGACCCGTTTCAGGACCAGGAATACTTTTTCGCTGTGCAGCAGCAGAACCTACCATCAATTATCTGGTACCACAAAGTGACTCATGTGGTCCCCAAAGACAACTTCCTTGCCCTGTGTGTACAGAAGCCTCTAATCTAACAGCTCACCTTAATATTTACAATCCGTTCCGTAAGGCAGACACGCTCCACCTTATGCTCCCTGGAGAGTATGGAGCAACCCCTTTTATTGCAACTTCCCGTGAACTCAACAGGATCTTTAATATGCTTACACAACTGCCTCACCAGAACATGCCATGAAGGTTTTAAACCTGAACTAAAAACTGTTAGGATTATAGCTGCAAACAAAAACGTTAAAGAAAACTGGTCGAACAACATGCAATTGCAGTCACAAACAGCACCTCATTGTTAAGATAAACAGCCACATTATTCCTTGCTTGCCTGGAAAATATTCAAGAATCAGAAAGAATAATCCAGTTCTTAATTTTCTAGCACTTGTTCAGAGAAGTGCAGTGAAGAGGGAGAGAGGGACAACAGATGGTAGCAGAAACCAGAGATGGACCTACCAGAATTCGGTTAATTTTGTCAAGGCTGTATCTAGTAACTACCCTCTGCAGTGGCCGCCCTAAAATTACATTTCATTCATATTTTCCGTTTCTCTCACTAACATTTTTCCTTTATTAATTTTTGCCCCCATACACACTACTGGACAAAGTGTACAAAAACAAAACAGAAACACCAAACACTTCAGAAAGTGTGTTTTTCTGCTCAAAAAGTTGCTTTCAAATGTTTTGTGTCTGGTGCTTACAGGCAGGCATGTAGTGTGAAGCCTCAAAGGTACCATCACCACCAACTGTGCGGTTTTGACATGGATCTACCCAATCAGCAAGGCCCATTATTGCTAGCATAAAAATAGACTATTCTTTCAGCACTCTGCATCCTTCAGGCACACCTGCCTCCCTCCACACATGGTGAGAAAGTATGTCCTTGGGCTTCCCCTTCCCAGCAGGCACAGCTGAACTGCTTCGTGACCAGCTCCGCCACAGGTCAGCTGTCCCGATCCCACCGTTCTGAGGGCAGGCCAGAACTCGGCAAACTCTCCAACTCGTTCACGTTGGAGATACAACCATCCGAAGTAACACTCTCCCTTTTTCAGGACTCATAAGAACAAACAAAACAAATCCTTACAGCATACTACAAAGTCAAAACTAGGTTACATTCCTGCAAACATAAAGTTATCTCTCCACTCTGTGTATTTGCCTACTCCTACATGCACCCAGTCCACATTAAAAGAAAAGGCCAGTTTTGTGTACAATTTTCATTTCATAAAAAAATACTGGAAATAAGTGACAATGTGCACTCCTCAACCCCATAGGTATGTATCAAGCTCAAAATACTCACAGGTACTGAATTACTATTAAAAAAATCTTTGTGGTGGGTTGACCCTGGCTGGATGCCAGGTGCCCACCAAAGCCGTTCTATTACGCCCTCTCCTCAACCAGATACAGGAGAGAAAACACGACGACAAGCTCGTGGGTCAAGATAAGGACAGGGAGATCACTCAGCAATTACAAACATGGGCAAAACAGACTCTACTTTGGGAAATTAATTTAATTTATTGCGAACCAGAAGTCATGAGTAGGCTAATGAGAAAACAGAAACTAAACCTTAAAACACCTTACCCGCACCCCTCCCTTCTTCCCAGGCTCAATTTCACTCCCAGCAGCAGAGGGGGACGGGGAACGTGGTTGCAGTCAGTTCATCACACGTTGTTTCTGCCACTCCTCCCTCCTCATGCTCTTCCCCCGCTCCAGTGTGGGTCCCCCGCAGGGTCACAAGTCCTGCGAGGAGCCTGCTCCAGCATGGGCTCCTCTCTCCATGAGGTCACAAGTCCTGCTAGGAGCCTGCTCCAGTGTGGGCTTCCCACGGGGTCAGCGCCTCCTTCGGGCACCCACCTGCTCCGGTGTGGGGTCCTCCACAGGGCATAGGCAGGTATCTGCTCCAGCTTTAACCTCCAGGGGCAGCAGGGGGACAGCCTGCCTCACCATGGTCTTCACCACAGGTTGCAGGGGAATCTCTGCTGCGGTGCCTGGAGCACCTCCTCCACTGACCTTGGTGCCTGCAGTTGTTCCTCTCACATATTCTCACTTCTCTCTCCCAGCTGCTGC